TTGAGCCACGGACAGTCTTGGTCAAGGCGCCATTGGCTTGCCATGCTCATCATGCAGCACAAAAGCACGTGCCGCAGCGGAAGCAGCTCCTGGGGCAGAAGAGAGCTGGGAAAAGAGAAGACCAAAAACGGTGAAAAAAACGCACATCTCAGAACCCAAACCTCGGGCGGCCCACAGCCAAGAACCTGTCGCAGCAAGGAACAGCGAAGCGTTCCCCCCCCTCCCTTTTCGCCTCTTTCTCCAGCTCCGCCAGGTGGGCCAGGCGCTCGTTGGATGCACCTGCAGTGCATGCAGTGCATCCAATTTCTTGAACTCTTTGGTCCACTGGAAGCCCCGGCCAAAACGGTGCAGGGTGTCCGCAAAGTCCTGTCCATCTTTCACGAAGAGCAGCTTCCCGTGAGCTCGATTCTTTATCCATGTTGGCCCTGCGTCCTTCGTGAGAACCAAGGGGTCAAGCAGGTGGCCAGGTTCGCAAGGACCATCTGCCAGGGGAATTCCAAAGGTCTTGGGATACAAGGCGAAACTCGAAGACAAGCACCTTGAAGCAGCATGACGACACGCTGGCCATCTCTATATCCTGCAGACAGATTCAGATGCCCTTCCAAGCTGACTGTGGCCAGAGAGGACCCTGAGCACAACACCGGCATCGTATGCATCGTGCAGCTTGGGCACCTGCACAAAATCAAGGTGAATGTCACTAGATTGGACAACAGTGGGTCCCGGGCGGTCATGACCATGGTCTCTGCTGTCCTCGCCATCCTGGTGCCAGGAGCGCTCCACCGCCCTGTGAAACCCAACACCTCAAAGCAGCGCTGAGCACTGGTCCTTGCAAGCCCCTAGGCGGATACCCAGTCAACAGGATGTCTGGGTCTGGGAGAATATGGCTGCACACACAGTAACTTCAAGCATGCCGCCAAAATTGAAAACCCCATCGCAATGGCACAGTTCAATAGAAGCCGGCATTTTTTGAGGCCTTTTCCTGGCAAGGACTCCGTCGCCAAAGACGACAGGGCCGTTAGGTGTCCGTACGAAGCTCTTTCCGACGTCGTCAAAATCCAAGGAAAAGCCATGGGCCACGAGCACACAGTTTCACAGTTTCTCTCTATTGTTCGTGGCTTGCTAGCACCTTGCTGTTTGGTTTACTCGTGTAAAATGAGTGTTAGGAAAAGCGCAGAGGTCATCAACTGCCTGGCTACCTTGCTGCATGCGAAGGTAACCGCCCCTAGGAGGACGCTGCCCCGGGGAAGCTACAGCTCTGCCTCTCGAACAAGAGAGCATTTCTGGCATTGCATCTCTTTCAATTTCAAACTGAGGCCGAACGTGGGCAAGCGGCGGGTCAACTATTCCAAACGAGCTGATGAGGTCGTCACCTGGCGCTGGCTCTCGCGCGGTACAAAGTGATGTTGCGAAGTGTTCTCTGAGTTGGCTAAACACAGAGCAATCCGTCGGCAAAGCAAGTGCAACACCATGGAAAGTCAGCTCCCCAAAACCACTAGACCGAAAAAACGCAAGGATGTTGCGAATGTCGGCAGGTGATCCTCGAGAGATGCAGCTGAGGGGGGCCCCGCTCTGCTGTCAACTTGGTGGCTTACGCTTTTCCACAGCAACAATAACAACAATAATAATGATTAATAATGATGATAACGATACTGATGGTAATGATAATGAGAAGACTCCCTATTCTAATAATTATGAAGGCCCCGCATTAACCAGAGGTGGCTTTGGACGGCATGTTGTGCCATGTTTGCCCGAGGCCTAGCAAAGGAAGACAAACCGTATGCCTACTGTCGATGCGGGGGGCTTTCTACAGTGCAAACAAGAGCATCAGCTCAGCGAGTTCGCTTTATCCCAAGAGCCATCAACCCGCCCTATGGCCTCAACTCATCGGTGCAAATCCTGCCGCGAGTTAGGGCTTCATGTAGGGCCTAAGGTTCGAGTCTAAACCCCCGGAACGTGCACACAAAGTCAGGAAATAGTGTCCACAACCGATCAAAGTATATGGGAATCTGGCAATGAAGCACCTCTACAATCAAGCACACAGATCAATCAAAACATGCTAGTAACACGCCTGAATACTGATCTCTTCTGGAGCCCACGACCGTCTCCCGAGGGTATCCTATAGCTCCAGCCCTCGGCCCTACGCTCACCGCGCACTAGAGAGTTTAGGGTTTAGGGGGGTTTAGGGTTTAGGGTTTAGGGGGGTGTAGGGTTTAGGGTTTAGACACCCAGGACAAGTTCGGTACAAGATTGAACGGCTCAGGGCTTGGTACTTTGGAGGATCCAAGTACACAGGAGTGAAAACTAAATGGGCAGTTCCTTATAAAAACCTTTCTAAAAGGGACCCTTCTTTGGAGAATTACCTATGTAATATAGCCGGCCGCAAATTTGAGATTCTGTTGACAGCAGCCACGGCGCCTTCCCAACTCCCGTCCAGGAAAGGCAACACGCTGTTCTTTGTAGTGTCGCTTCTCCGCTCCTCAAGAACTTGATCCACTATAAGACCTGACCTATATTGCATAAAGTTCGTTGCTCGCTTACTATAACTTGATGTTCATGGTGGGGTCTCGAAAAGTTCTTTCCGTGAGGGCTGGCGCCAAGACTCCACTTGAGCCAAGCAAATTGCATACAGCCTTAATGCAGGCCTGTACTACCCTTGCTGTCCGCTTTTTGCCTGAGTCTTGTCCAGACATTGAAGCCGTACGCCGCCGCACACAGATGGTTGCCACGGTGTAGGTAGAAGAACCATAAGGTACCATAATTACGCGATGACACAGGGTCTACAAATCAAATTGCGAGTGTCGGAGTCTAGTGTGTTGATGTGAATATGAGCCCGCGCACACGCACATGTGAGTCTGGTGGTCAATGCCTCCTGCGTGGGTGTGCATGTGCAAATCCTTGTCAGCCAGTCAGCGTGCTAGGCTCTCCTTCTCTTTGTGTTTGTCCGTATCAGTGTAAATACAGCATCAAGGCAACATGACTTGTGGCAGCAGGAAGGCAAGGAATTCTCGTCGGTTGGGCACCATCAGCTTGGAAAGGACCCTAGGTATCCGATCAGAACCGCCTTCTCTAACTCTTCGCTTGCTCGACGCTGGGAGAAGCTTCGAAGAACTGTGGACGCCCGAAACGGGGGGCTCTCGGCTGCGTGTCAGATGCAGCACAGGGCATGGCCTTGAACCCTGCACCTGAAAGGTAAGGACCAGGTTACCCGCAGTGTCAAAGATCTGTGGCCAGTCTGTCGGACACAGTCCCATAGCCGAAAGATGTCAACTACGGCTGCCTCTGTCCCTCCGAGTACTTAGCTGTTGGGCCGATAGGTGGCAGAAGTCTTAAAAAGGGATCATAACCCTAAACCCCTAATCCCGAAACCCTAAACCCGAAACCCCTAAACCCTAAACCCCTAAACCCCTGCACCCACTTCGAGATAGGGCCTCGAAGCCCGCGTGCAGCATCTTCGTACCATAGCCCTTCCGCATGCCGCAGTGCCGCCTCAGAGCTCCGGAAGCTGCTTCTCAATCCACTGGATTAGAAGCTAGTTTAAGGGTTTAAGGGTTTAGGGGTTTAGGGTTTAGGGGAGTAGGGTTTAATGTTCACTTCGCATTAATAAATCCCCCCCCCTCCCCCCCCTCGATTGATCTATCTCCGTCCCGGGAGAACCTGGGAATAATAATGCCAGACATGTACGTTTGAAAGCCTATT